TGAAATGAGGACCCAGACTGTGGGGGCGATATGCTGACTCTGTAAACCGCTTAGAGAGGGCTGAAAGCCCTATGAAGCGGTATATAAGTCTAACTGCGATTGCTATTGCTATGAACTGTGTTAAAACTGGACATGTCTTAGACCACTGTTCCTCAACCTTTCTGGACTGGCACGGCATGGGCAGGAGGGGTGGAGAGGAGATGGTTTTGTGTGAGGGGCAGGGACGTGCATGCACACAGCTTTATTTGTGTGAGTGGAGAGTGCATGTGCCCGCCCCTCGCACAAATGGGGCTGCACACACACCCGTGTGTGTGCCAGCCTACCAGTCATGCATCCTGATTGCTAATAGACCACAGCCGAGTAGTGGGCCATAGCCCACAGGTTGGGGACCCTTGTCCTAGACAGCAATTCCTAATTAGAGGGCACCCTCTTCTCTACAAATGACCACCTTTCTTGATATTAACCAGGTGGCAACCCTCCTATTCGGGGGGAGGGGGCTGTTTGACAATATCTGCCCCTACACCCCTTAATATCTCATGAAAAGATTCACAACATGCTCTCCTTGATCAACCTATATGAGCAGATTTGGCTTTAAACAGATGGTCCCAGAAGTAGCAAGGGCCAACCAATAAGGGTTATTATAGGTAATAACTAGATCTTGAATTGAACTTGAGGTCAATGGAGAAATCCCTCAATACAGTATATGCGTTATCCAGCTATAACTGATCTTGTCCATTAGCAATTGATCAACTGCATTTTTCAGCAGATGAGGCTTTTTTTCAGGGCAGTCCCATTAGTTTGTAGCTACCCAAAAGATAGAAAAGAGTGTAAGTCAATTTCATAATCCAGAACAGAACACAGCTATTGTATCAGCCAGTGCTTAGCAAAGACTGTCCTGGTTATGGTTTCTGCCTCCTGATTTTTATTTACAAATTGCCTACAAATCCAGAATGGGCTGCCTGGTTTTAAATGATTAATGTTTACTATGACCCCCAAACCCCAGATAATGTACATTTTAAATACTATTTTGATATCTGGGGCACAGAGGAGGCAAGACAATGATAAAAGAGAAGTGGATATAGATCTGTTGGGTGGGTGGGTGGGAGGAGTTATTTTAGGTTATTTGTTTTTAGTTTAAAATCTGCTGAATCCATCTGAAACATATTCTCTGCAATGACTCTTCTTCATTGAAAGATTTTCATTCTTTAACTTGTCAAAGTAGGTGCTAGTTTCCTGCATCTGATATCTAGAGAAAGCTTTTTAAGGGTTGTGCATGCCTTGGAAATGTTTCTGGGGAAGTGTTTAGAACCATTGATAAATCCATGACCTCTCTGTTCAGGATTTGACAAGATGCTGCTCCTTTAAAGGATCTACTCATTAAAATTAATAAACTGTTAAAAAATTCACATCTTTTTCCCAAGCTAATGCGCTGTTTTAATGAATAGCAGATACATACTGCCTAAGATCTTGAAGCACTTCTTCTGAATCATTTTTGAAGCATGCATATTTTTTTCCTTTATTCACATCTTGTCTTACTATTGACTAGATCATATATTCCACTTCTCTCTCTTCATTTTAGCAAGATGTCCATTTTACAAAACAATACTTCTGGATCTTTATAGCTTTTTTTGGTTCTGCTTATTAAATACGCTGGCATCCTTAGTGGCTGATCCCCAACCCCCATTGCAAAGATATGCATTCTAGCAAGTTTCAAATTAATACCAAGCATTTAGATTTATTGACTGTCTCATTATTAATCTCATAGAGATCTTGTTCCCATTTTGAAATCAGATGTGACTATGTTATATATCTTTGGAAATTTCCCATTTGTTTCCCATTTCTTGTGTGTGTCATTGTTCCCATTAGATGCTGATGCCACCATGTAGGATTTGGGACAGAATGCTTTCCTTTTGATTTTTTTTGATAATCTAGTCTAAATCATAATCACATAAGATATATAAGAATTTTGTCTGTGCCACAACTTGGTACTCATATTTAAAAATATTTGAAATTATCTATTTTACACTGTCTTTTTTAGTCTCTTGATTTATTTTTCTATCATGTGATTACCTTCTATTATTTGGTAGAATTGAAAGAAGATAGTGTATACTGTATTCCTACTGCCAAATTGCTGCTTATGTCTGCCACTGTATTTGAAAAGCTGAAAGAGAGTCATTAGAAGAGAATTTGAAGTGTTCTCAGTTCTTTTGTTTTTTCTAATTTATAATCATCACCATACATATAGTACCCATGCTGCGTATTCTAAATATTCCTTACCTTGCCAAGACTGGAATTATGTTCATTTATCTCTTATGGAGTCTTAATATAGTTGGCAATGTAGATCTTAAAATATACAGACGTTCAATTACTTTTTACTACTGTTTAAAATTTTCTGACTGAAGTAGTATTAAATGGTTCAAGGGATAACTTATGCCAGTCATGAGAAATCTACAATGGCACTAATTAATTCAACTGTTTAGCAATCTTCTCACTTATACCTGCTTTTTAAAAAACAGAGAAGTGTATAAAGGCTGTTTTCCAGGGGCTCATGGAGAAATCAAAGCTTATAAAGAGAAATAGCAGTAGAATTTCTTCTACTTCCTCTTGGAAACCAAATAAGGAAATAGGGGAAGTTGCCTTGCATGATTTAGTTCTGAACAAAATCTCTGTGGTTCTTACCATTAGATAACAATCATGTGAGTGCTTGTTCAGAAGTAAAGTTTTGATAAGCTCTATTACAAAGAATAGATAAGATAGAAAAGGAAAATAAAATAGCTTAAATGAATCTAGAATGGGTGTCAAACTCGCAGCATCACATTGTCATGGAACATATCACAACTTTTTCTCTTCTCTAAAATGGGTGGGCATGGCCAGCGCATGACAAATCCGGCTGACGGGCTATGAGTTTGACATCCCCGACTAGAATAATTAGAGTTTAAATAAATTAAAAAAACAAATCTCCAAGAGTAGCTTCATTAGGCATACTCTACTATCCTTTTATTATCACATCGAAGGTACAGAATACTATTTCTGGGAAGATGTGTGTGGCAGTTATAAGCAAAGTTTTAAAAATTAAACTCCTGGCATCCTCTAGTGACCTTTTCCGGACTGAGTGCCCAAAGCGTGTGCGCGTGTGAATGCGCATGTGCGTACCCAAACACCCAAAATACAGTGCACCCCCCCGGACATGCCCCACACATGCGTGTGCATCCCCCCTGCATCCCCCGCCCCCACGCATTTGCATCTTTGGTACACGTGTCATAGGTTCGCCATCAGAGCTCTAGATGTTTTGACTTTTTATAACCCCTTGCTATGGACCACGATGACTGCTAGTGATAGGAATTAGAGCCATCATAACATGCTCCACATTGTCACATGATTTCCTGGAAATTGTTCAAAACTGCCAAGGCAATCTAGGGCAATTATCAAGTTATTTATTATATCTTTATTTCAGATATTTCAGGAACTATAAAATACATAGTCACTGCCAGCTGACAAAACCAGAACAATCTCTTGCCAGAATATCATTTTAACTTACCCTAAATATTTTGCCTTAGTTTACTTGCTATGTGCTTGTTCTTTGATTTTTTTAAAAAAAAATGCTTAAATTTTTCTGAGATCATGCTCTTTTTAAACCTTTTTTGTCCAAATAAATTCACATTATCACTTGTCCCTCCTGTATTGTTGCATTTGCTTTACTTTAAGTACATACTTCACCTAGTAGTATCCTTCAGCTAGAAAAAAACTGCAATCAATCACTAAATCACTTCGTATGCTATAGTTTTGTAATCAAATTATTGATATGTTAACTAAATAAATTAAGGGCATTTAGCTATAAACCTCAGCATGTGTATTATTTTTAAATAAAGTAGTTTTGCTGCTGTTATTGATGGCAATGAGTCCGTATGGGATACGGTGATAAATAAATAAGTAAATACATAAATGGTATAAAGAAAAAGGAGCAAACAGTTTTCTCTCTTATAATGTCACAACTTGAGGTCATCAAAGAAAACAGATTATTAGGTAGAAATGCATATTGAGAGGCAATTTGGTTTACTGTTTAAGGCATCAAGTTAGAAACTGGGAGATGTGAATTGTAGTCCCACCTTAGGNCTTTGGACGGACATGTGGGTGCTGGGCAAGGGCTTGGAGTTTCATTTGGGTGGGGAAAACCTGGAAGCTTTCACATTTGGGTTTTCCCAGATGTGCCAATATGACATCTCTAATAAAATGGAACTTTGAGGAACTTCAAGCCTTGGAATCTTCTTTAGTTGGGGTGTTACTTGGAACCCTGACATTAACTCAAATCTCCTTTAAAACTCTAACCATCTCCCCAAACCTCGGGGTGCTGTGTGGGGTCCTGAGCCCCGAACACCAACCCAATACTGGGTGGTTTGAAGACTCAGGGAAGATGGAGGTGAGGTAAGGGACACTACGCTTGCAACACATTGCAGAACCCACTCTCCAACTTGTGCGTGGTCTGTGCTAGACTCCCCCACCCTTGTGGCACCCCCACACTGTTCACCTGGATCACCCTCTGTTTCTCAACCTGTGTGTGTGGAGTTAGGCAGCTGGGCCTGTCAAGTTTGCCATGGCTAACAGTCACATGACATTGCGCTGTACAACCATATTCCTTAATGATGGAAATTCCAATTCCAACTATGATTGTACGTCAAGGACCGCCTGTATATTTTTAAATAAGGAGTTGAACATTTAGCACCTATTTCATGTTTTTTAAAAACTGTGTTATAACTTTTTATCTATTTTTTTTTTTTTTAGACAGTGGTAACCAATGAATTGGAAGATGGTGACCGACAGAAAGCCATGAAACGATTACGTGTCCCACCACTAGGGGCAGCACAGGTGATGGAAATAGAAGAAGGTTCTTCACTATATTTCCTTGGATAAATGGACATCATTTAAGAGTTGGCATCAAGTTCACATCTTGAATTACCTTTTGCTTTTTTTCTTTGTAATTTTCATTTTAAAAATTGTGGAAGTAGACAAGGCATTAATATGTCATGGCAGAATAGAATGGATGCTAGAATAAAAAAAAAGTTCATTTGTACTTCCAATTAATTATTTTGCTATTTTCCTCTGCTGTTTATTCCTATTAAAAGTCGTAGGCAAAGAACTGTGTAAAACAGCAGTAGTAACAGAAAAGCAGAAGGTTTTATATAGCTAAGTCATTCTTAGAGATCTTAGTCATTCATTTGAAGTAAAATATTCTTTTCGTCCATTTTTTTTAATGTCTGCTGAGGCCAATTGTGCTTCATTCCTTTTCCAACACGGCTTCCTTTTTCCAGTCAGCATTGTCTTAATCACTTAACTGCTGCTTTGATTTTGATTAGACAGTGGCCCTAGCAGCTTTACAGCTGCAAGACAGCTTCTCCATTGAAGAAAGTTTTTCAGTAGGAGGATTGACACAATCATGTCATGAGAGCTAAATAGTTTCTTGACATTATATCATTGTCATACTTTATCATCCCAAATACTTGGCATCCAATGCTGTGTACAGCAATGTCTGAATTTAAAAAAAATGATACCTGCCTCAAGCCAATCAAAACTGAGTAATTACTTAATGCTTATTCCATTCAATACTGATTCTGTGGATAAGCCTGCCACAGAAGAAACAACTGTTGATTATAATTAGTATATTATAGCATATAGTATATAGTATAGTGTTCTGACCCCCACCTTGCCCGTTCAGAAACGAAACCAAACAGAACGTTCCAAGGAATGTTTTTATCATTCCCGGCTCTTGCTGGCTGCGAGCCCAAAATAAACACAGATAAATGCACTGGCAAAAGTCCTCACTCATAAACTACTACAAAACAGGATTATATAAATCAAGTCACTTATCCAAGTGCTTTCCTCGATGGTTGCACNAAAAACGGCCCAATTGTTTTGCATGCACAGCCTTTAGGAGGTATTCCTGGGGAAGAAAAATTGGGTAAAAAGCCGGCCAATTTTTTCACTCATTTCTGCCCTCCCCAGCCCCCAGAAGCTCTCTGAAAGCCTCCTAAAAGCTATGCGCGGCCATTTTGGTGAAGGGGGGGGGGCAAAAAATGCTGATTTCAGTGTACAAGACACACACAGATTTTCAACCTCTTTTTTGAGGGAAAAAGGTCCGTCTTATACTCCGAAAAATACGGTAATTTTTTGTTAATTTTAAAGAAAAAAAGACTAGCTTTATTATGGATAGAAAAATGCAAAATATGTTTCTCTTAAAGAAGGAAAAGATTTTATAGTTTCTTCCCTTAGGTGATTTATTTCCCTTCCCCATTCCCTGATATCAAACAAAAGGGCAATATGCGCAGAAACCAAGCAAGTAACATGGTTGTGTTCTATCTTTATCTCTAGAATCTAAATTTCACAGGATTCCGTAAGATTTTGAAGAAACATGATAAGATCCTGGAGACACCACGAGGAGCTGATTGGAGAGTGGCTCATGTTGAAGTGGCTCCTTTCTATACTTGCAAGAAAATCAATCAGCTCATCTCTGAAACAGAGGTATAGTCTACTACCTAAGGGATGGTTCTAGAATCTCCTCTTCCAAAACGGGCCAGTATTGGTTCATGTTAACATTATTTCTAGAAATGAACTGCCTGGAGCACTACTACTACTACTACTACTACTACTACTTATGTTTCCATCTAGAAATAAAATCTCCCAGGAAACACTCAAATCAACCGATTCCGGTGTGTATTCGGGAGCCAGGTTGTTTCAGTGCTAATATGGCAGGTTTATGGATTTTGTAGAAATTAAAATCCTACTAAGTAAAGTCATTTTTGATACAAGTAGTATTTGTATACCAGTCGTGTATCAGTCAAGTAGTGATAGACTTACAACCATTTGTTCTGTGAACGTTCTAAGTTTTAGCACCGCTGAACGTGATCAAACTTTGGGTGTTTGGCACACTTGCAACCATAGGGGCACTTCAGTTTCCCTCAATGCCTGCCTCTTCCACTGATATTTTCTTGCGCTCCCCTGCAGTTTGCAGCCCTTGATGCCCTAGTAGAGCTTTGCCTTCTTGTTCCTGCTGCTGATCAAACACACCAGGTCTGTCCCTTTGAAGGCAGCTGCTAGCTGCATGAGGGTTTTTCCCCCCAGGCCGTGCATGGCAGTTTCTTAGTGATACCTGGAGAATGTGTGGCCAGCAGCTGCCTTGACCAGGTACGCTTCATTGGCAGAAGGAGGGAGAAGATGGCAAAGCTAAGCTAGGGCATGGAGTTCAGGGTAAAGGGGGAGGTTGCCAGTGACTGAGACTGGGCTAGGATAGCTGCAGCTTCCCTCGGACAAGTGACCCTTTGTGCTATGCTGGTGGAACTGGGCTTTGTGCTTCTTGCAACCTCAGAGTCGGAGGACCCAAGAAAACCCTTTTGCATGACTGAGCTGAAGCTGGGTTTCATGCTGCACTGTGCCCTGTTATTCATCCATCCCCAGAGCTGCAGAACACCAAGAAGCCCCTTTGAACCACACTGCTGTAGCTGGGCATTGTGCTGCAGCTCTTGCAACCCCAGAGCTGTGGTGCACGCCAAAAAGCACCCGAGCTTCAGTATGTCCTTTCCCCAGCATTCCTACATATGCATGCAAGTAATTTGTACCCTCTATCCCATGCCTCCTAAGTGTCAAGTCTGAAAGCCATCTTCTGCATTGGGCCTTCAGGCCTGCCCCATTCAATGCTGTGGGAAAATGGGAGGCGGGACTGTATATGGAGTATGGGAGATATATAGTCATAATAACATATCTTTCTCAAGACAGTCAAGGACATTTTGCCCTGCTCCTGGGAGGGGTATGACGGGGGGTATGGAGGGGTATGACTGGGAGGCATCTCCAGTTGGGATGGTGCCTACTTTGGACGGACATGTGGGTGCTGGGCAAGGGCTTGGAGTTTCATTTGGGTGGGGAAAACCTGGAAGCTTTCACATTTG